ATTCGAAGAGTGTTCGATCCACTCCAAGTAAGATCGATGGCGACTCCCAAAAATACCGACGCGACGACATCGGACCCCCCGGAGGGACGGTTGCCACAACTCCCTCTATCGAATGAGGTTCTCAATCGATACAAAGCAGTGAATCAACCCTCGACTAAAGCAATCGATCCACTACTATCAATCTATGGTGCTCTATTGACCTAATCAGGTATTCGCTCTCATAGGATCAAAGCAGAATCAATAATCTCGACTAAAGCAGAATTGAATCGTGAAAACATGCATAGATTGAATATGAACTCAAGATTATCAAGTCAGAGTACTCATACAATCATCCAATCAAACAAACATGGCTAGGGTTCCTCAAAACCTAAGTGAAGAGAAGTTACTCCATAGAGAAGAGAGAGACTGCAGTAAGAATCTTCAGATGATCAGTCTTCAAGTCCGGGCTTGTTCCTCGAGCTTCCAAGGCGAAGAAATCCTCCAATTCCACTCTTCGAATGCCCTCAAATCGCCCTCTCTTTCTAGGGTTCGTCCCTTGGGTGTTTTCGATCCAAAAACCCAGCTCTCTCCCTCAAATCTTCAGCCATCTCGCACGGCCAGGGTGCACGGCCATGCGATCTTCAGGGGTTGCCCGTGCGTGGCCTCGGCATAAAGCGCACGGCCAGAGTTGCACTTTGCACGGCCGTGCGACTCCCTGGTCTGCCCGTGCAGCTCCCCAAAAACCTCGCTATTCGTCCGATCTTCGTCCAATCGACCCCAGACTCGCTCCCAAGCCTTCATGCAAGTACTAGGACCTGAAATATCACAAACAAGCACAACCTAGCGTGAAATCGGCCTAAAACACGAGAATCAACACCTCAAACGGTATAAGAACGAGGGTAAAAACATGTGTAAATAACGGTCTATCAACCCTCTTTGCTTGCTCTGGATTGATATTGGTGGATTCCATCCCTCTTCTTCTTCGCTTAAGAACCTAAGTTTCTTACTTGGGCTCCACTCCAGCTATGTATCTCAGCACTTGTAATCGCGATATTGATCCTCAGGATTCCCAGTACCAACTTGCTCTGAAACCAAATAAGCGTCTCACAGATCTAAATACCTTTCGACCCTCGGAGTTTTTTTTTCAGTTTCGGATACCTCTTCCTCTTACGATCAGAACTCGGAAACTCTAGGGTTACCGCCGCTGCTCAACCTCTCGCTAAACGAGAGAAAACAAAACCTAACTTGCCCGCTGCTTAATTTAAAGGAGAAGCAAATGATAAGACTTGACTCAATTATAAATAAGTATGACAAGCCTCAAATGTTAAGTCCAAAACTCAACGTCCAAAACTTTGTACTCAGACTTTGTTTCTGGAATTTCGTCCGGTGCTGATTATGTTAAAAAAAAATTCTCGATCAAAGAAGCTCAGTTTATATCTCGATCGAGAACAGAGGATGAACACTGAGAACACAACAGCATAACCCCAGAAATTGCAACAAGAATTAAATCAAACCCGGTGTGTATTCGATTCACATAAAAAGTTATGATAATTTAATTGAGCTTTCATTCCTTTCTCCAATCCATGTGAAGTTCCCCAGAAAATATCAACCGAAACAGAGCACACAAGCACAAAGACAGAACCGGTAGCAAAACTGAAAATTGAAAAGAAAAACGATAAATGATTTTTATGTGGTTTCCAGTATTGGAAGAATAAGGATCCCAATACGAACTACTCCACAATCAGAGACTCACGATTGTGTGATCTCCTAAAGATATGACTTGAAACTTGTGGTGTACAGTTTAACACCTGATCAACCTCGCATGCCAATCAAACAAATTCTAACCCTTTTGATCAACTCTCCGTCGATCAAAACCCAGTATTTTCCCAATACTGAACCCAAGCTATATCCCTGAGGCTTGAACCATTTTCCTATCAAACTACCCGCAACATATATCCTATGCTCTCTTCTTAGTGTTGATTTCGTTGAAAAGTTCGCCCATTCTATCTACCCCAGGGCCCAGAGCCCCTTCTATAATCTTAATTAACATTTTGACAGTTGCACCGAAGCTTTCTTTCCATGTTCACCAAATTCTTAATCTCTTTAGGAATGGTAAGCTTCTATTCTCTAAATGTTTATGATTTGTGAATATGCAATCTATGGAAAGTTATTTCTTCCAGCTTGTTGATGCTGAGGTGATCGCTTGTTGATTTCACCTTTTAATGGCCTTCCTTGTCTACCAAGCCATATGACTCAAAAAAATTTTATTCTAAAAATATATTAAAGTGGATATCATTATAAAGAGCACATTTTAAAGAACACAATTAATCTGATTTATTTGTACAAAAAAATTAAATTTCGACTAAAACCAGAGAGAAATCGTCCATTAAAGATTAAAAAGAAAAAGATAAAAGGCTTTGTATGAGAGAGAAGAATGCTAATGTGGACGGGTTACTCATTTTTACTCATCGTAAGGTTCTATTAAGTATTATCCCTTTTTACAACAATCTAATAAAATATTGTTCTAGTTGGCCTGACGGTATGAATTCACAAACTCTGATTCGCACCCATTAAAAAAGAAAGGGGTTGACATTGATCTATGAGTTGTACATGGGTGGCACGACCCGTCAGTTTTTGTGTCGTGCCGTGCAAGCTCATTTGTTAACTTTGCTAGGCTCGGCCCAGGCCCGGGCACTTTTCGAATCGTGTCGTGCCTATTCGTGCTCGTGTCATGCTCGTATTCGTGTTTAATGAAAGGACGAAGACAAAAGAGAGAATGAAAAAGAAGGTGAAAATTGGACAGAGGAAGATAGTATTAACCAATAATGTTTGAGAAAAGTAACAAATATGGGGGAAAAGAAAATTGGAAGTATATCGAGTGTGATTTGACTTTGTTCAATTCTTTGTCCATTTTATTATGTTAGTAATTACATATATATTTTTTTATGACACTTCTAACAACAACAAATAATTATTTTTCTACTTGTGTTTTGTAATATTTGAACCTATAATTCTTTTTATATTTATTTTCTATCAAATAATATTATTTTCGTGCCATGTCCGTTCTTATACTCAATAAAGTCTCAAAAATATTAGGCCCGACACGGCCCACTTATATACCGTGTCGTGCCAATAATGTTTGAGAAAAGTAACAAATAAGGGGGAAAAGAAAATTGGAAGTATATCGAGTGTGATTTGACTTTGTTCAATTCTTTGTCCATTTTACTTATGTTAGTAATTACATATATATCTTTATGACATTTCTAACAACAACAAATAATTATTTTTCTACTTGTGTTTTGTAATATTTGAACCTATAATTCTTTTTATATTTATTTTCTATCAAATAAATATTATTTTCGTGTCATGTCCGTTCTTATACTCAATAAAGTCTCGAAAATATTAGGCCAGACATGGCCCACTTATATACCGTGCTTGTGCTCGTGCCCATGAAGTTTAGGCCCGGCACGGCCCATAAATTATTCGTGCTCGTGCCGGGCTGGCCCATTTATTTCGTACCCGTTCTCGTGCAGTGCTCTAACCGTCCCGTGCTAGCCCGTGGGTGGCACGGCCAGGTGTCCATGTACATCTATGACCAAAGATGAAAATACAGCCGACTGAAGCAAGTTCGTGATGTATGGCAAAGAAAGCATTTTGATGGGCTAAATTACACGTTTGATCACTCAAATTATACAAATCTTTCACGTTTGTCACCTGAATTACTTTTCTTTCTTATTCGTCACTAACTTTACGAATCGTTTCACCATTAGCACCGGTCGTTACACTTCGTTAAATTTTTCCTACGTGGCAGTCAACTATAAAGTTTGACTGTTAACTTGATGACGTGGAAATTAAAAATAATAAAAATAAAATTATTTTTCCACCTCATCATTTCACTTACTTTGTCTATGATTAATTATATTAATTATTTAATAAAAATTACTGAATTTTTTTATAAATTACAAAATTAATTATCAGTGGAAGGAAGAAATTTATATAATCAACCAGTGCAATAGGATCAGAAATTATCATGCATCCCCATAGCCTTTTAAATTAGTTCGTGATACATAACTTAAACAGAAGAACTAGTCCACCCCTGAAAAATTCTATACCAAATCTCATAGTTCGCCACCTCCGCACCTTGCTTTCGAACCGCAACCTGGCTCCGTCGATGTCGTAGTTCAGATTGGTGAGCACGTTCAACCCATTGAGCTGCGCGTAGAAGTAGTTGTGCTCGTCGTCCTGGTAGCTCCGGTCATGCCTGGAAATCATCGATGTCGGAATGGAAGCTTCGCCAAGAACTGCAGGTCGTTGAAGAAGCTGTCCTGTGGATCTTGCAACTTCGGCGCCAAAGGTATGAACGCCATCCTTAACAACTATGCATCTCTGGAAGAACTGCCCGTGAAGCGGTTCCACATAAGAACTCAGAAGTGGAGAAAAGCGTTGGATGGGAACCCGAAGAACTCATCAGCAGTGCCGCCGGGAGGGACCGCCGCGCTCCGATTGTCGACGAAGAAACCGGATGAGAGGGTAAGGATTTCGATGGCGCTGACGAAAGCCACGGTAGACGAATAGGAGGAGTGGGGAAGGAGTTCGCTGGATGGGAACCCGAAGAACCCAACAGCAGTTCCGCCGGGAGGGACCGCCGCTCTCCGATTGTCGGTGAAGAAGCTCGATGAGAGGAAGAAGGTGACAACGACGAGGAGAAGAGCGTCGATCTGGTGGGTACGAGTGCACCAACGACGAGGAAAGAGGAGGTCGTTCATTTTTTAATTATTTTTTATTAAATAATTAATATCATAAATCATATCCGTAAATGCAATGATGAGGTTGAAAATATATTTAATTTTTTAATTTTCACATCATTTAGTTAACAGTCAAACTTTATAGTTGACTGCCACGTAGGAAAAACTTAACCGAGTGTAACGGCCGGTGTTAATGGTGAAAACGATTCGTAAAGTTGGTGGCGAATAAGAAAGAAAAGTAATTGGATGGCAAACGTGAAAGATTTGTATAATTTGAGTGACCAAGCGTGTAGTGTAATTTAGCCCATTCTGATGCATCTAAATTCATGGGAGAAACATACCGGCAAACAGACATTAGCAAGGCTGAAGTCTTCGATACATTCAACTTCCACTTTCTCAGGCATAATTGCGTTCACAAGCACGGTCATCAAGGACAATAATCCCTAAACAACAAAACTGTAAGCTACTACTAGCCAGTACACTAGAACTTCAATACTTGACAGGAGCTAGGATCTCTAATTGGGGTCCAAGCTTCTCCTCTGCTACTTTCTCAGCCTTTGCCCTAAGTTTGTTCAACCCCTTCTTCCTCTCGTACATCAACTTAGCCTTTTCCTTTCTCTTCTCCTCGAGCTCCTGCAAGGATATCACCCGAGATTTATGCATACCCACCATAGAACAGAAGGGTCAGAAAATAGGTATTGAAACATTGTGTCGTGAAGTGTTATAATCTCTATATGGGAATAGAGCCAAACAGAGAAAATAAGGAAAGAGTACATAGATCATAGTCAGTCATCTGATGGCAATCACATAAAAGCACATTACAAATGCGATGGCAAAACATGCGCGCATGAAGATGCAACAACAACTCAATTCCATTAATCGTTCGCAGGAAAGAAAAACAGCAACAGGTTTCAAAGTTTTCCCATTTCATCCGAAACAAGAGAATCGAAGATGACAACACTCACCCTGATGGTGTCATAGTGGTTCCATCCGACCTGAGATGATAGCTGACCCAACAAGCAGTACTTGTGTCCACTCTGAAGCCTCAACACCCTATAAAAACAAACACAGCAAAAAACGAGATTAAGATATAAAAATCCTAGGATTATATAACACAATCCCATTGGACAACTAGGACAATCAAGGATTCCACAATTCGAGGACCCACTTGAGAGCATCAGGGACAACCATCCTCTTGATCTTGTCATATGGAGGTGGGACGCCCTCATAAGCCTTCAGCCTTGCAAGCGCAGCCTCTCCGCGCTTTGTCTTGTGGGGAATCATTCTGCAGGGACAGTTCAACACAGCAAACCACAATAATTCGCCCCAACATCACGATCAGCAGTAATTTCACAAAGTTCGCAACCACAAGAAGTTGACATCTCTTATTCATCAACTATGAAATTCTCTCCTTAAGCATTTTAGACTAAATAAAACCAATTAGTTCTAATAGCTCAAAGCAGAGTTCTCCATGCTAACATATGACAGTAAGTTCTCCATAGTAATACTGCAACAACGCAGCATTCAAAACCCACCAAATTTCCCTCCAACTAATGGCAACCACATTTGCTAAAACGACGAAGGTTGCAGAACCAAAAATCAAAGGTTTAAGTAAAAGAGTGTAGATGCGAAGATAGAGAGAGCTGACCCGCGGACAGTTCGCCAGAAGATCTTAGAAGGAGCGCGGAAGTGGATTGGACCATGAGACGGCTTGGTGTTCATGCGCTTGCGGAGGAACCTCATGTACTTCATTTTCTGGCGAACAAGTCCACCGGACATGCATAACTCCTCGCACCTGACCACCACCACTTTCTGACCGTTGAGAAGCTCCTTCGCCACGATTGATGCCAGCCGGCCGAGCATGTGATGCCTGGCGTCCACCACCACCCTCTTCGCGCAAATCCCCGACCCGGACACCATTTTTTATTATCTCTCGACTCTCGCTTCCCTTCCTCTCCGACTTCTCTATCTGTCCACTCGCCTGAAACTGTCGATTGAGTTTTATCTCAGAAGGTTAGGGTTTTTTACCCGCTGGCCGCTGCCGGGATTTGTTGATCGGGTCGGGCACTGGCGGTTCGGATATCGGTGCTTTACTTTGTGGATCGGATCACCTCTGGGCCTTGAGCCCAATGCTTACTAATTTGAAAATTAAAACAAAATTTATATTAAATAACATGTTTATTCTAAATAAAAAAATTAGGGTGGTTCAAAAAATATTATAAACTTTGTTGATGAATATATTTAATACGATAAATAAATAAAAGAAAGAGAAAAATTAGGAGAAAAAAATCCTACGAATCAAGATATAGAATTTGATTATGAGAGATTTTATATCCATAGATTTTAGAGATTTGAAATCTCTAAAGTTAAAATCCATAATACAAGAAGTAACAAAAAAAAATTTACAAAATCTACGAAATCAATGAATTTACGCTCTAAATTCCGTTTTTCAAACGAGTTATCCCATAAGAATGGAGGAGGAGGCGGTGGTGGTGTGTTGTTGTGGGAGGAAAATGGTGAGGTATAGTTTTTTTTTTATGTTTGTTTCAAGTGAGAAAAATCAGGGGAAGAGATTACAGCGGAAGAGTTATTAGGGAAGGGGATTTGAATTTTTAATTGTTTTCAATTTAAAATAATTATTTTAATATTAAGATAAAATAAACATGTAATAAAATAAAATTAATTTTATTTATTTATTTGGAGCTGACATGACAGTGAGCTGGATCGTTGTTGTTCAAATTGACGGTCAAACCACGCGTCTAGTCAATTGAGTCTATATGGTATTATGGTGTATAGTTGATGTCAGGATAGCAATTTATGAAACCATGGGCCAAATTTGACTATTTGGGTATAGTTCATTCTAAAATAAGGTATTAACCTCAAAAGAAAATTATTGTCCTTTGATAGAGTTCAATTATCCATGAAATAATTTTTTTTAATTTATCTACTTTGTTGATTATGACACAAATTGTACTTTTACATTATATAATTTGAATGAGAGAGGGTATGTTGGAGATTCAGTCACTTGTACTTAACTGGAAATTGTACTGCTTTCTATTTGGTGTCCAAGCAACATATGTTAAACATGATCAACAACAATGTCTTGATTTCCTTGAAGCTCTCATCGTCATGGTAATCAAATTCTCAAAATAGCGAATTCAAATATGGGATACGTACTTGAGTCCGAACAATGTAGCGATTAACCATACTAAAATTTTAAGAGAACCGATCACTTATAGTTGGCAGAAAAATATCTTTGTTTCATGTTAGTTCTAAAAATTGACAATTACTTAAGAATTTTATATCGCTTCTACATATTTAATACTACAATTTGATAAGCAATATCCGAACCAATGATATTTGAGTTGCGATTTTTAAGATTATCCTCCATTTATAAGATAGACAAAAATTAAATTAATAATTAAACTCAACTTGGAATAATTAAAATATGAAAATCAAAATATCAAACTCCAAACGAAATACTTAAGGAGACTTAATGGGCTAGCTAACCATGGTGCAAAGGTCCTCTAATTTTCAAAATTTTGTTTCCTATATGTTTTTTTTTTATGTAGAAAGATACAACAAAATTGTTTATCGTAGTTGGTTATGATTCTTGTCTCTCTTTCAATATGAAAATAATTTATAATTCAATCTTTTTTAATTTTGGTGCTAACATGGTGGTGAGCTGGACCGTTGACCGTCTAAATTGACGGTAAAATCACATGTCTGGCAAATTGAGTCTATATTCTACATAGTTGAGACTATGATATTTATATAAAAAAAATTGAGTTAAGAACATGCTCCATGAACCCGTATTGGAGACCATACTGGAAAAGTCAGCGATAGAGTATTTTATGACAAAATCATGGTTTAACTGTAGTTCAACCGTTAGTACCGTTAAATACTGTCTATTTGTTTAGCCTCCGCCCTTCGATACTGGTATTTTGTGGTTGAATCACCGGTACGGTACGATATCATGGACGCTGGTTAAGAATTAAGATAGTGTGGGGTTGGTGACAAAGTCGCAGTTGCCGCCACCTCCCTCCAACCGTCGGCCAGACTCCAAAGTCCAATCCCATTCCGCACCCCATATTTTACTAATCAATGCAATTTGCCAACCTCACCTAACGAAACCCATCTCTGCTATCAATCCTTGATTGATTCCCCTTCCCATATTTCTTCCTTAAGTTCACCACTTCGTTAGTTTGCGTCTCCCACTCTCTTTAAACCCACTTGTGACTGGTGGTGAGTTGTTCGTCTGTAACACTGCCTCCCAACTTCCACCACCAGCCTCAATTGCTGGGTAGGATATACCCTAATCCCAAAAAGCGAAGAAACCTCCTTCTTCTGTCTCTGTCAATCAGTTTCTGGGTTCTTACCAAAGGCGAAGGAAAGAACAGTTGACCTGAGGAGATGAGCGGCGAACAGAAGGCGTTCACTTTGGCCGAGGTCTCTGAGCACAACACCGCCAAGGACTGCTGGCTGGTCATCGAGGGCAAGGTCTGTCTCATTCACTTCCCAATCCAATTTTGTTCAATGGGTTTTGATCAGAACTCTAGGCGGGCGGTTTTGAGTTTTGATGTGTGGTTAATGGCTGCTTGATCTGGGAAGAAGTTCCCCGTTATTTGTTTATCCTCCTCTAATGGATGAAGCATTATGTTCGGTTTACGATTTGGGATTTTCTGGGAAGCTTGAGGATTCATATATTGTTTATAGGAAGAAGGATCTGTTTTGGTTTCTGTAAGGTCTGGTTGAATATTCTGGGGGTGGAAACTCATAGCATCAGCGTCGATAAATAAATAGCTGACAAGACTTCAAACATCACCTTTGGGCTTTAATGTGGTCTTTGTTGTCCATCTACCTTTGCCAATGGTGTGTTCATGCTGTGTGCCTGCTGATATTAGATCTTTCCAGTTTGGTTGGAATACCAAGTCTATCACGATTTGATGGTTTTTGCCTGGTGTGAATTCTGCCAAAATGTTGTGCATTCTGAAGAGGGATTTTCATGTTTTTGGAACAGGTATACAATGTGACAAAATTTTTGGAAGACCATCCTGGTGGTGATGAGGTTTTGCTGCAATCAACAGGTATGGAAACCAGTTCACTAATATTCCTAGAAGTCAATCATATCCTGGCTTCTCCCAGTTAACACACTAAAACATGGTAATTGCCAACCAGGGAAAGACGCGACAGAAGATTTTGAAGACGTCGGGCATAGCACCAGCGCAAGGGCGATGATGGACGAGTTCTATATGGGTGAAATCGACTCTTCTACCATCCCAACCAAGGTCAACTACACAGCTCCTAAGCAGCCTCACTACAGCCAGGACAAGACCTCCGAGTTCCTCTACAAGCTCCTCCAGTTCTTAGTCCCCCTCCTCATTTTGGGTGTGGCTTTCGGCATTCGCTTATATGGCAAAGCACCCTCTTCTTAAGGACTACGTAAGAGACTTTGGCCAAGGAACTGAAGAAGAGAAAAGGCTCCTGTGGATCTAATCAATCACCGTGCTCTGTCCTTACAGATTAGAAGGTGATTGTGGCTCGTATCAGTGCTTCGGGTTTCATGTGTTCTCTTAGGAATCTTGTTTTCTTTTATGATCCTGTACTGTTGATATCTTTCCTCCTTTTGCTTTGACATCAGAAAACTGGTTCGGTCTCTATTGAGAATTCGAGATTACCATCTGGCAGCGTTCTTCAACGCAATAGGCTTTTGTTCCGCGTTAGTTATGTTTGTTGCCAATATATATCATTTTGCTGGTATAATGTGAAGGTAAAGAACCATGATGCTGAAGTGAGCTGACTAAAGTTTGTTGAGAGTTGAGAGCAACATGCTACACTTAACACGAAGTAAAGAAACCATGATGCTGAAGTGAGCTAAATAAGAAGTTTCCCCTGAACCAAGATGCAGGTAAGGATTAGTCATATATCTCAACCAAGAAAACCATAAATATTAAGACAAATAAAAAAGGAGCAATTATTATCTGTGGAAGATTTTGGTTGGAGAGCTGGAAGGCGATTGCTTCCGTGATTAGAAAGTTCTTCAATGGCCTGCTCTGCTGTCCTCATCTGCTCCTTTCTTTCCCTTTACTTGCTTTTAAGAAAGAAACGTAGCCATCATCTAATGAAAAACGAATACTGTTTGATTAAACTAACAAATCTTAAACAGGGGACTCAATCACTTCACCCAATAATTCAAGAGAAAGGGATATGTATGGATCTTTTGATTTTTTCACCCAAGACAGTCCACCCCCATAGTTCTTCCCGCCATTGTCTTCCTATAATATCACCTTCTCAATCACCATCTCTTCAGTAACCCTCTAATAAACAAATTCCCACCTCAACACATTAAATGCAGAGTCTGAGAAACATCAGGAGCAAGAAGAAGAACAAGTCCAGAACCCTGGACGAGGAACCTGGAATCCTGAAGCTTGTCCATCCGGGCTGCCACGTCGAAATCCACAAGCAACCCATTTCAGCATCGCAGGTGATGAAGAAGAACCCCAGACACTCGGTGGCCCGACCCGACGTGTTCAGCAACCCCTGGCTCGTGGTCCGGCCTGATGCTATTCTTCATCCGGGCAGAGTGTTCCTCATCGTCCCCAACTCGACACTCTACCAATTGCTAAAATCTCGAAGGGAGAGGCGCGAGTTCTCGCCTCACCCTGCTTACTATCAGCTCGGCAGAGAAGAAGGTAAAGGAAATCATGGCGGTGATGCTGGGTCCCTGCCGGAACCAGAAATGGTTGCTAGCAATGTCAACGGCTCTTTTGATAAAGAAGAAGAGGAAGAGGGTCATGAAACTGATTCTCCACGGATCAGGCTTAGTTCCTCTTTCTATCACAGGAATGCCAGAGTCAGTCCTGGAATTCCTGATGAAGACTCTGCCCGGTTCGGTTTCGGATGGGCTCATCAGGATGGACAGGTTGCCAAGCTGAAGCCTTGTTTGAGGAATCCTGAAAGCGGTCGGAGATTGCTTGGGCTGAGAGTTACTTTTAATTTGCCTCGCCGGGAAGGATAAGGAGCTTGGTTGGTTGAAATTTTGTGGTCGCCGGAACAGTTTTCTTTGAGGAGAGAGCCCTGCCTTGTAACAAAGAATAATAACCCTGTAAAGTTACCAAATTGAGTACATAGTAATAATTACTAGACACCAAAAATTAATCTTATACAAGAGTACATATTTGACATGGTATGAGTGCTTTTGATTTGGAGGTCTCATGTGTAAATTCTTGTAATTCGGATATTAATACAGAAAGTAATCTAAAATACATAATATGATGGATTTGTCTAAACATAAGCTTCCTAGATTGACTTTCATTTGACAACACATATTAGCGAATATGATACAAGATCTATGTTTGAACATCTTGTAATTGTAACAATGTCGGGGATTTTTTTTACACCTAATATTTTATTGACTTTTGTGTTTCTTATAAGATTTGATTTAGAGTAACATATGACGTTTCACATTAATAAGTTAAATATTGATGTTTTTTTATATCGATTTCGTATTACTCTGATTGATTCAAGAGATTGATCTACGAATAATTTGAGTATATTGTTCAATCTTTTAAATAATTGTAGGTGGCTCCATCTGAAACTTGAACAAGAACTAAAAAAAACATAATCGAGTCACAAATCACAAACACAGAAACAAAAACCTCTCGAAATTACATTACTTTTCTTATGTACAAAGTCCTCAAAATAAAATGTAGCATACATACATGATACATGACAAATCACAAACACAACAAAATGTAGTTCATCACTTCAAAAAGGGGAAATCGGGAAAGGACAGAAATGAGAACTTACAGACATTAGAACTCACGCTTTTAACAACCCTTCTATGCTGCTCTCTAACCTCCAAGATCTGAAACCATTTACATTTACAAACGAAAAGGGAGGTAACTAAACCAAAAAACTGCAGAAGAAGACATTCTACAATCACCCACCAAAACCAACACAAATGAACAACCGCAGCCTAGCTCGAGGTCGGTAATTAAACACATCGAAAAGCCACTCACTCACTTCATCAATCCGTACTGGCACAAGTTCTGTCCATCGCCCTAGAATCCGTCCTCTGAGACTGCTTGGAAGGCGAAGTCGATCCCCTCGACGAGCTATTCCCAAAGAAACCAAGCTTGCCGAGCTTCCTCGAGAACGAATTCACGAACTTCCGCGAACCAGACTTGTGCATATCCCTCTTCATACACACATGATCCTTCTCCAGGTCGTTCAGCCTCATCCGCATCCGCGCCAGCTCCAGCTTCAGCTCCCGATTCTCCCTCCTCAGCGACGCGTAGTTGTCTCGCGGCGACATCGCCGCGCTGAACGCCCCGCTGCTCGCCCTCCACGACTGCTGCATCGGCCTCACGTGATCCGGTTCGTGATCGCCGCCGCCGCCGTAAGAGCAGCACAGCGCATTCCTCAGCCTGACTTGTTCAAAATAGAGAACCTGTACGATCGCTTGAAGCGGAAGCCTCTCGTTCTGCGCGGCATGTGCTCCTGCTTCCTGAGACAGCTTCTGGAAGTCGATCAGCTTGCACAGCCGCTTCCTGTCCATGTCTGATAAACCCTGATGCGCCTGATGACTCAAATTTCAACAGTAATAAGTCTATCATTTGTTGGGATAAAAAAGCACAAAAGACAGAAGTTTGTGGCAGACATTAAAGAACTTACTTTAAGGTAAATGTCAATGGCTCTGTACAAGGCATCATGAACCGTGCGAGCATGAGCAGGTAAAGTCTCTGCCACGATCATAAACTTGGACAGCTTCAGATTGGCATCCGGAGCGATTTCCGCCAGGTAATTGTCCACCAATTTCGACACCTTAAACAGCGCCGTCTGAGAAGGCGAATGCTGCGGGCTATCCGATTGATCGAAACCAGATCCATTGTCATCCATCCCATCACCTTCATCACCTTCATCACCATCATCACCTTCGCTGTCGTCCTGCTGCGAGAAGTTAACCAAGATCCGATGCACCGCGTCCACATCGAACAATGTGTCGCCCGAATGCCGAAACGAGGGGATCAGAAGGTCGTCGAGGGTCGCCACGTCGAGCTGCGACCCGATCCGCCTCTCCAAATCACCTCTACAACCCACGCTGCAATCAAGCATGGCAGCGCTCCTCAGGAGGCCAAACAGGAAATTGATGGGAACTGCAAGTCTCTCCAAGGGAAGCAAGCTTACGATAGTCTCCACCACGGCCCTCTCGTGGGCCGCCGTGGAGACCGGATCGACCACTTTGGTCGTCTGGTTCGGGTTCCAGAGGCTGGACTTCTTGGTCAGCTCCGTCTGGGCGTAGCTGACGAGGGACGCCCCGATGCTCTCGGGGCGAACCCCGCGGCACTTCATCGCGGTGATCACCCTGTGGAAGAGGTCGATTCTGAGCGCGGAGAGGTCCTGGATCCACCAGTCCCCCTCGCACTTGCTGCCTGCGGCCTGCTTGTTCATGTGGAGCCTCCCCGAGCTGCTGTACTCGAGCCGCGAGAAGCTCGAGGCGATCTGCTCGACGCAGGCCTTCGAGGCGACCGCGTCGACGCAGCGGCCCGCGATCTTGAGCTCGTCGGCTAAGGGCAAGAGGTTCTCGCAGTGCTGGAGGACCTGGACGCAGAGCTCGAGGCTCTTGGTGACGACGCTGTCGAGGTACTCCTCGGCCCGGGAGGCGAGGTTGTCGTGGGAGTAGTCCTCCGTCATCTCGAGGTAGTCGGAGACGCAGATGAGCTGGGCCACGTTGCTCGGTGTGATCTCGAAGTTGATCCCGTAGCAGAATTTGGCCGCCAGCTCGAACGCCTCGGCGCCGCCCGGCGAGTTGAGGAGCTCCACCCTGGAGATGTCTGCATCCCTGTGCTCTGAAACCAGCTTCCTGATTCGACCACTTCTTGATACGATTGGAAACTGCGAATGCCAAATGTTATCAGATTGAGAATGAGTAACTGTTATGTGGATAGATAGATAGATACCTTGTGCAATGCAAATGTGGATCCGGCAACTTCAATGGTGATATCACTAGGGACATCTCTGAAAATCCTGCACAAGGCAGAGTTAATTCGCTGCTAGTTAGTTGCGCCATGAAATGTAACGCTTTTTTTTGTAAAATTTCCACCAACGAAATGCCTAGTGATCGAACTGAAGAGCTTTCTTGCGTACATTCAAAACAGGGGAATCAAATACAGTAGAAAAAACAAATACAGAGGACGAGGCATGAACATGGGAGGTTGAAGTGAATCGCTAAAGAGCCATAAAATGAACTTTCATGGAAAGGGAAGTCGCACCATTCACTGAAGCGCTGCCTGGAAGATTTATTAGCCAAGTAGAGCTGCTGCTGCTGCTGCTGCTTAGAGTCCATTAGCAGAGGCAAATGGGAATGGCGATGAAGAAGAGCAGTTATAAAGAAGGGGAAGAAGCAGAAAGATGAGACCAAATGGGGGTGGAAAAGGCAAAAAGGAAAGGGGGGGACTATTTGCTAATTTGGATTCAGCAGCACTACTCAAATCACTCAACATTCCTCTGGAGCTATAAGAAACCGAATGATGGGAAACAAAAAGAAAGAAGAAAGGGACTACTACTAGGACTAGCGTGAGAACAGGTTTTCCATGGCTCATCATTTGCCTTTGAGCTACAGCCTATATGGGATGATGGAGGTAAAGTTTTGTCATGTCCGCTCAAAAAGGCAGTTCCTTTGTGGTTTGTCCCCTTTTGGTTTCTTAAATACCAAAGTCAAAACTACATAAAGAAGAAAAGCCGCCCAAAAAAGAGATCTGTAATCTTTGGTAGATCACTTTCGCATTGCATTAGCTGATTAGCATCTCGTTTTATTTAGTTTTTATCCGGATTTGGGAGCATCAATATCTCTTACATCAACTTAATTTTGTTTAAATGAAACTTTTATTGAGACATATTTTATGACTCGACGCCATAGTGATTAAGTTTCATAATGAATAAGATTGTATCATGGTGGTAGAAATGTATAATAGTATAGAATGATGATATATGTGATAGATTGTCAAGTATCATTTACCATTACTAGAGAATTAGCCCGTGCTACGCAACGGGATTTGATTTTAATTCGTTTACTCTGTTGTTAATGTCGAATAATATAATTTGATCATGCGTGAGTTTATTTTAATGTTGTAGAAATCGATATTCTTAGTGTTTGCGGTTTATCGGTAAAATATTACAATGAAATATAATGAAATTTCACAAAAAAAGAAATGACAATGGTCTTGGCATGCCGATAACTTGGTTGACATTATCATTTGTAGCGTATTGAAGTTCCTTTAGTGGAGAGCTCACCGATAGTTGTTGTGGTGCATCCGATATAGTCAGCTGGAAAACCAAAAGGAGTGCAACTTGATTAGAACCCAACACTAAATTAATATCACGTTAATCATAAAAAATCATTGTAGTGATAAATTATAAAACAAACTTGAGTTTCTAACCCATTTCTAATTATACGTCTTGTGGTTTTGGCGTATAAAGTATTTCACTATCAGTAATGTTCGGCAAAATTTGGTTACCTGTAAAAGAGTATGAAAGGAGTCCTTTCTTATATATCCTGCTGCCTGAACTGCTCACTGTCGGTGTCCATGTCATCTGTAACATTTATAAGCACATTGTTTGGTGAATGAATGTAAGGGATGGTGAGAAATAATTATAGGCTATTTAAACTTATTTACCTGTGTGTGATGTTGGTGCGGTGTGCAAATCAGCAAATGTCTCGTGATATACTATATTTCTAGTATATGATTGTGGAACTTCGCTATCGTTGTCAATCAGTATATGCAAGCCGTCAGCTGATCGTACTCGCGAAACTGCTACGTACAATTGTCCATGACTGAACACCGTCTTAGGCAGGTAAACCCCCACTATATCAAGACTTTGTCCATGACTCTTGTTTATTGTCATTGCATAACACACTCTGACTGGGTACTGTCTCCTCTTCAAGGTAAAAGGCCAACGATGCTCAGTGATATTGAGCACAATCCTAGGAATAGCAACCGGCATTCTGTCGTACGATCCTCCAATGATATTACCTCCAATGACATGTTCTCCCAAATGTGTAATCATGATCCTTGTTCCATTACACAGGCCAATTGATGGATTCAGATTTCGAAGAAGGATGACTGGAGTGGAGACTTTCAATTGCAGTTCATGTTCAGGTACACCATTGAACGATAAGCTATTTAGGAATTCAGTTGGGTACTCCTCTTCCCACCTGGTGCTGTTTATCGTATCATCCTCTATCGAATCTGAACTGTAGTATGTCTTTGCTTCTCCCTTGACTTTAGCCAACATATAGTCATTAATCTCCGAAACTACTCGATTTGTTGGCGTGACTATGGCTCGATTATTAATGTAGTTGATATCCTGGAAATTATGATCAAAATCCTCATATACAACATCAGTAATTGCCTTAATTCTATTTCCTGTATGTGGGATGAGGAACTTATCTGGTAATTGTATCCAATCTGTGGCAGTCGATGAGTTGAATGTTGTGCACTTGATTGCTCCATCTCCAACAGCCAAAACCCAATCTTCAAAAATTTTCCCATCATAGACACGTAGAAGGTTGTTTGGGTTTGTATTGATTCGCATGTTAACTTTCAAAGGCAAGACCTTAAAATGCTGCCAAAGGTGTGATCTTGTTAGAGAAGAATCGATACTTTCTTCCCGCCCTCCATCGACCACAACAGGCAATGTTTGTCTGAAATCACCGCCAAGAAGAATGCACTTTCCTCCGAAAGGCTTATATCCCTCTCCGCTTATGGGAATGTTCATGATGTCACAAAATGTTCGATCAAGAGCTTCGAAAGCGAATCGATGTGTCATTGGAGCTTCATCCCAAACAATTAGAGCCGCTTCTTGGATTAGCTGGGCTAGATGAGATCCCTTCTTTATGGTGCAGGTGGATGTGTGATCTATCTCAAGGGGGATTTTGAACCTTGAATGTGCTGTTATTGCATCAGGCAATAATGTAGCGGCTATGCCTGATGAAGCCACTACCAGAACAATCTTTCTCATACTCCTTAGCTTGGAAATTATTGTATCATATAAGAAGGTCTGGGGGGACTACTTGAGGCAAAAACGCTCCCTTCAAATTTAATAAACCAATTGTTAACAAATAAAAATTGTAAAAACAAAAATAATACCATTACAACAAAATTTTAGGGGAATGGTAGTTTTTCTAGTTACAGGAATTTCGTACCTCGGAAAGATGATATGGTAAGTCCACCTATAGCAATTATTACCGGTGCAGTTAGAGCATCAAGCATCAGTTCAGCTGCATTCAACTTGTATGCTAATTCTCCCCACAAAGAAATTGACAATTCCACATCTCTTTTTCATACAAAGATAAGTTAGCCCTAACAATCTAAGTTTAATAAAAACTAAAAAACTGGAAAGTGAAACTGAAACAATACCTTTCATTTTTCAGCACTAATTTCTGGCAAGGTGTGTTACCATGTCGAGTAATAATGTGGTCGATTTCGCCGATGGACCTCAGCCAGCCCACAACATCTGTTCATTAGGAAATAAAAGTATCAATGTAATACATATCGTTTGAGAGATCTTAAGTAGGGTTTACATTACCTGTCAATAGTGTCTTATTTCCTACACGTTCTCGCAAAGACTCAAAGTCGCAGAACTCGAAGCTGTCTGAAATAAAATCTGTAGCAGAGGTAGTAACATCTTCAAATTCGGTTGCCGGGACAATGGAGAGACACAGGTTGTTTTTGCATGGTTTGTAGTATTCTTTGGCTGACCGTGATATGAATTCCTTTATACCATATACGGATCCAACAGTGAGATTGGACTCCGAATGGCCAGCAAAAGTACGATCGCTAAGACCATGGATCAACATGCCCTATAAAGAGACGAAGTCAGGAAGGTAGATAACTGTTGAACATGTGATTTGAAGGGAAAGTGAAAGGTACTTTACCGTCTCGTCAACCCATAGGGTACTGTAGTCGTACACATAGCCAGGATTGGCTGGATTTGTCGAAAGCCATGAGTGGACGAGACGGAGCTTTAGTACTCCCTTTTTGTCGCCGATAGTGAGTTCCTGTAGGAGTTTTGGGGTTTCAGAGGACATATTGCAGAGCGGAAGCAAGCGCAAGGATAGAGTTAACGTGAGAAATAATGAAGCAATGCCTGGTGTTGATCTAGGACGGTCAATATATAGGAATTTATTTATTATTAGAACTGGAGACAAATTGTTTTTCTGCCTTAATAGGGAAAAGGTAATTCGGAGCGGAACTGGAGAGTTTTTCACTTACTCGGAAGAATTAGCACAAAAGTAGTAGTCTAATTGTATTCTAATTCTAATATTCCTTATTAGCTTGCTTCCATAAAAAATTTCACTTCTTTGTGCGGTTAGAGTTTTTCCTCTTTCTTGATAATCCTTTTTTTAATTAAAAACCATTATTACACCAGTATACTAAGCTACCGTCATAACCCTTATTGAACCAAAGAGGATCAACTCTTATTGAACAAATTTAAAGCAATTCACAATGTCCCCATGGAACTTTTATCTTATACGAAGCTTAGACGTGGTTTTAGTCTAAGCTGAAATAAACCCATCTTCTATCAATGTTCATAACTAAAAATTGAAGAAGAAAAACTTACTGAAGTATGACAGTCTTGGGTTCTTGTTCTACTTCATCACATATGTATCACTCTAAGGTGGGACATCTTCCTTCAATGGCTGTACTGAAACTCCTGAACAAAACATAATTCATCATATTAGACCTTGTTCTGTTTTTGAACTTAATTTCATTAAGCTAACTACAATCAAGCCTGAACTTAAACACATTTTATTCATAAACATTCCATTTCAATCATCATTCCTGCAAGTATACAATATCATTCAATCGAGTCCCTCCACCATAATCAGCTTGAACTTCCTGCCCAAAGCCATAAATTGAGTCCCTCCACCTTAATCAGCTTGAACTTCATTCAATTGAGTCCCTCCACCATAATCAGCTTGAACTTCCTGCCCAATTACATAACCTTATAATCAGATCTTTTAATGACTACACCAACAACTGCATAAACCCAAATTTGTTTGTCAATCCCAAATATGTTTGTCATGCCAGATACGAAGATACCCAATTTCATCTCTTGAAGGATATCAGTTTAGCAAAGGAGTAGAGTGGTAGATAGTGAGAAGCATTTACCGAGTTATTGACTCGCCGAAATCCAGTGATTTGCCGTTGTCATCAATCGTCTCACTTCGTACGACTTTCGATTTGTTATGGCGGGACAAATGCGGGTGCCGAAACGTTGTCGCCTGTGGGTTCTGAAGAGGCGTTGTGGCCTGTGAGTTCTGAAGAGGCTCCGCCGCCGCGGTCTGCCGGAGCGAGGTTTCCCGGCGCAATGACTGTGGGGTCTGAAGAGGCTCCTCCGCCGCCACCTGCAGGAGCGAGTTTCTCCGGCGCCATTGAATGAGATTAGGGGTCGCTGCCGCCTGCCGGAGC